AACAGCGTCAGTTTGTTGTCTGCTTAGCCGCTGACCGTACGACGAGCAGGCGCATGCTCTTGCGGTTTCCTTGGCATTTCCAGTCTGCTGTCTCTGATGGGCATATTTATAGTATATCTACAGTAGATAATAAACAATGTGTTATTATCCTACTCTTGATAATATATATATAGATATAGATTTATATTAATATTATATATATATTTATATAGAGGTATATAGAATAAAATGTCAGTCTGATGGGCATAATTATATATATATTGTAAAGTATATTTAATATTAAAAATAAATATCGCTCTCTGATGGGCAATATATATATATATATAAAAGTATATATAGTAGATATATTATATTATATATATTTATATATTATAATATTATATTAATATATATTTATATATTATAATATATATATATATATTATATGTATATGTATATTTATGCATATTATGTCTGCCAAATTTTCTTCGGACATTAGCTGAAAAATATATGGTAATTCCGCTAGGCCGTGCTCCGTAACGAACTAGTCAGCATCGCAGAATTTTTAGGGAGTTACACGGACTCCTGCATATGTCAAATCAGGGAGCTAGTCCGACAGTAAATCAGGGAGTATTTGTCTCCGGACTCCCGTTAATTTCGCACCCTGTATATATTTATAGCAATTTATATTCGCTCCACGGCTCATTCATTCGCATTCGGTGAGCATTTGTTGAGCGTTAAGTACTATGTGATTACTCTACAACGGCCAATTTGTAATGTACGCATACACACAGATAGCGCTAGACGTATACTTTGCTTTTCCTTCCCCACTCACACTCGATCACACACCGCTCACGCCAGACATATCTACGAGCGCACACGTTCTACTGTATAGGCCTACAGATGTGATTCTCGTACAGTCCTATTTATATGTCGCGGGTTTAATTGCTTCGATCGATTGTATCGTATGACGTAGGCCGGCTACTGCGTGCAACCACTTTTAGATTGACTTCATTTGTTTCCGGCGTTTTAGAAATATCGAGTTCAATCGATCGAGTTTGTTTTGGCTTGCTGTTCACGTAGCTGTGATTCCCCCACCCCACCCCTTAGCACTCTGCTAATATATCATCGGGCGTCTCTGTTGATTCAGCATAGAACTAAATGTATTATGTATGTATATTAAATGTATGATTTCTGAATGAATTTGTAAGCAGGACTGTAAATTCAGATGTTTCGTAAATAGGAATGCGTGTTCTGTTCGATATCTCTACAGCCAATTGCACTTCACGTTTCAAGGCACACAGGGATTCATCAACCATGCATACATGCTCGCGCGTGCGCGAGTGTACACACATTTCCCACGCCATGTGATTATCAATATTAAATATTTTAGTATCACTAATCAATAGATCATTGCTCATTAATAATTTGCGGTGATATGCTGTCCGATTTTTTACAGGCGGTTCTATATCCAATATGTATGGCCTGCATTTGGCTAGATTCAAGAAGTTTCCCAATGTGAAAACGATGGGCATGCAAGGGTTACCTCAAATGCTCGTTTATACCTCTGATCAGGTAAGCAATCCAATATTCATTTATCATGAAATGCACATCTTCACCATCCTAAAATGCTTTTGTGATCATCGAATCAATATTTTCTAAAAATTAAAGTACTCCAATTTTTTTTCTGCACTTAGTTCTGACGTTTGTATTTGGAACATTTCAAATTTTCTATATTTGTAAGATATTAAGATGTTGCGAGGGTTATTGTCATAATTTACCCTATTATATTATTCATATATAAGATTCATATTGAAATAGAATCGGCTTAAGTACATACAACAAACATCAGCGTTTAGGCCACATAGTGAGTGATTTACATTCCTTATAAATAGCCGCTCTTGTTAACCTTACTAATTCAACTGTTTTGGATAAAAGCAATACCGAGAATGTTGGGATCTTATTCAAATGTTAAAATTTTCATCATCAAGTTACATTTTCTATGCAGTATTCATATTGGAAATGATTAGTAATCCATTAATTGATGTTTATTTTATCTAATTGGGTATTTAACTACTAAGAATATTTCGGTCTTAAAATTTAGTTATTCCAACTTGGTCAAACATCAAACAATCATTCAAAAGACAGCTATTATGGATAAACAAATTTCGAATATTTTTCCTTAAACGTGGTGCGCACTGCGCACGCGCGCACGTTTGTCCCTTGTGTTTTGCACAGATCAGGGGCGGATCCAGGATTTTAGGAAGGAGGGGGTGCAACCTTTGTAAAAAGGCACTGCAAGGGGGGGGGCAAAGCCCTCAAAATTTTGTTTACTCTTTAAATTCATTAATTTCACATATATATGGGTTTTCGGTCCATAAGTAATTTATGTGAGCTTTTGGCGTAGCTGATTGAAATGCGTGCATTTGGCAATATAATGTAACTCATCCAGTGCATCTATACAGGCGACCGTACAGTGGCGCCATGCTGCATGGCGCCGCCACTGTATTGCTAACATCATTTTAAGAAAGGCAGCGGTTAGTTTTGGACCTAGATTTTCCGTTTTGAATTTGAGCATGGTATGGCCCGACTTCTGGGCTCGACCAATATATATATTCTAAGAAAAACAAGGGCTTGATTGGGTCCGACTGAGTGAAATACTTGTCAGATACAGGCCTAGCGGCAAAACATACCGTTTGGCAACTTTTGCAAAAAGGGCACTTTGCGTGGGAAGAGGGAGGGGGCACCTCCTGCACCCCCCCCCCTGGATCCGCCCCTGCAGATCATTGCTCTTTGTTAGCTAAAGATGTCTGACGTTACTTAAGCGAACCCTGCCGGCCCTTAGGTAAAACTATCGATCCATGCAGTGTGAAAGACAGCAATGACATTATTATGGAAAAACCAATAAAAATTAATTGAGTTGCTGTATGAGTTTCGCATGTTTTTTTGTCATAATTCGGCGGCCAAACGTCCATGATTACGAAAACCTGATATCGGAAAATTCTCTTGCTTCAGCTTTGCACTCGCGCACCCATACCACACATTGGTATGATCGAGGCGATATGTTAGGAATAGTTACGCATGCGCTTAAGGTCCGTGACACGCACACGCACACGCACATGCACACGCACACACGCACATACGCACACGCACACGCACACACACATACGCACATACGCACACGCACACACACACGCGCACGCCCGCACACGTACACATACGCTCAAGCACACGCTCACGTACACGCACAGGCGTACGTACGCACACACGCACACACGCACGAACACACACGCGCGCACGCGCACATACACACACATACGCACGCAAACGCGCACGCACACACACAAACTCATGCAAACGCACGCGCGTACGCACACAAGTTTATGAAAGGCCATGTTCTACCAATATTATGTTCTCACCTCCTCACCCCCACTCTCACACACATATTCCGGGCATCACCTTTAATATCAGCCGACATATACCTACATCTATCAAGAAATTTCTAACTAGGTAATCGATAAACCGAACGGAAAGCAAGAAGGAATGCGCGGTGTGACATTGCGCTCGACACCATAATGATTTTGGTCTAGTTGTATTGCTAGCATCAAGAGTAGATAATAACACATACTATCTATGTGTCTATTATCTATGTGTCTATCGTGTGTCTAGCATGTGTTATCTATGTGTCTATAACCTATTATCTATGATAATAACACATACTTGCTAGCATGCATAAAAAATAGCTAGCTGCAGTGAGTCACAGAGACGATCCGCTCTGACAGCAACGAATGCGCGCACGTTATTAATCATGAAATGCGTTCGCGATGAAATTGAAGCCTTAATAAACATTAGGCTAAAGCAAGCAAAGATGACCTGTTTTTACTGGAAGCGGATACAGTGCGTAAGTGCGGCTCATAGGGTCTATGTCCCCCAGGGTACTGCCGGAACGTACCCTGAGTACGGTCCGGTATACCGGAACGTACCCTGGTAACTATCTAATATGGTTAGGGTTAGGGTTAGGGAGTAGGCGTAGGCGACTCCCTAGACTCGTTAGTGGAGTAGGCGAGGTACGGTCCGGCATATTAGATAGTACCAGGGTACGTTCCGGCAGTACCCTGGGGGGGGGGTCATAGACCCTCTCAGCGTAAGTGGGGCCGGCTCGTATTTTGCTCATACGTGCATGTGAGAGATGGACGGTTTTGCAGAAATTGTTCTCCTGCTTTTCTAGTATAACCATAAAATGCCATAAACCTGTTGAAATGTTGGTTTTATAAATCATTGTATAATATAACACATTAAAACTATTCTTAACATGTTATTACTACCTAGTTTATGTTATATTGCGTCAAACTGTGTATTTTATGTACGAATGCGTACCAGGAAGGCACTATGATCGTTACAATAAATAGTAGGTATCTCCGCATGCTAGTGAATTTTACCAGTCGTTAGTATTCTTAAATAGCTGGTCAGACGTGGCACGGCACAAATTTATAAAAATATTTATAAGGCGTTAGCACATACGCAACAAATTAATCCGCCAAACCAATCTAACAATAATTATATGATTTTTAGTCGTCTATGCATCTATCGTACATGTAAAAAGCAGAACAGTACGTCATAATGCAGCATATTGCCACAAACATAGGAAACGTTTTTTTTATGACGCGAAGAATTATAACTGTGAACGGTTGCGGAGGTTCCACAGCTGGAAACAATTTTCCACTTGTGACCATGCTAATGACGTTCCCGTAAACCATCAGAGGTAATTTCGATAGATCGCAATTCCAGTAGTGATGTATGCATAGTGACGTCCTTCCCGTAGCCACCACGGGCGCATATCAATGATAACCTGCTGCTTGCTGCTCCCAGCGTTCCGGTTGGCAAGCAGAAGAAACCTCATCTAATCTAGACATTAACACGCCGCAACACTGACACGTGTATAAAAACAGTGTACGGTAGCTGCGTTATCTTTGTGTATAAATTACTACACGCTATCGCAGATGCGCCCGTAAACGGCGTGCTTTGGACATGAATTTGAAGTAACGCCATCTTGCGCGACATCGGTTACATTATGGAATTGTTTATAGCATTAATTAGAAGATCAGGGGGTCGCTGCTCGGATTATTTCACGTATTAGTAAAGTAAAACAATCCTGTATGCAGGGATTTTCTAATAAGAGAGGAAGGAAAACTAGCGAAAGTTGCAAATAAACAAGAGTAACTTATTTGTAAGGAGTTATTGTTGTAATTGTTAGCAACGAATCTTATTATATGTCCCTGGTAGCTCTGGAAGGAAATCGCATTGTTATTAGCAACCATAGCGATCCTACTAAGCTAAAACAAATTGGGAAATTAGAAAGTCATCTGCTGAATCTGCACATTGGAAGGCAAAATGCACATTTTACTAACAGAAGAAATATATGAATATGCATCATAATATGAAAACCTAATTTCCTAAACTCAGATATTCTTTTATGATTCTGCCGAAAAGGGCGGGCGGGAAGTATAGCTCGAAAAATTGCTTCGTTTCATGCAGGATTGCAGCGTATTCCACTGTGAAATAAAACGATAATTCAAACGTCTGTATATGCCAAAGATTCTATTATTTCCATTGTGGCTGCATGGTTTTCTATCTCTGGCGCTGACGTAGTTGGTCCGTAGATCGCATGTCATTGTGATCATCTATTCGATCGCCCACCCACCCGTTCATTTCACGTCCACTTAAAGGGACAGTAGCCTCTAGGATTTTACTGCATACAACTGCACTTACTGTATAACAAATCGTCTATACCCACATGTATTTGTCACCAGATACTTAATTAATTATTTACACATCAACGCTACGAAATTTGAACGGCGCCATGACACCCGCGACCGTGCTGCCACCCTGAAAAAGTTGCGTATTTGCATTTTTATTTTGCAGGTAAATGACCGAGGGCTAATCACAAAAGTACAATTATATTTATACCTAAATGCTATTTAACCGAACGATATTCATTTTAGGGCAAATTTATCCATATTATAACTGAAACTATATGTCGTATATAAGATATTACAATCCTTTTGCTTTTAAATGAATAAATAAGAAATACCCTCGGTCTGTAGCCCTTGGCTGGAAAGTGGTTTTGCGCAACTTCTCAGATCGTGCGCTTTGAGTGGCGCCACCGTCGTTGTAATCAAACTGTAGTCGTTGGTTTTAAAACATTTGTTAAAAATATTTTTAATGGTGATTGAACCATGAAACTTTTTATGTAGCGCAACTATAACCTAAATTAGCTGAAAATAACCCTAGAACCTAGAGGCTACTGTTCCTTTAATATGTTATAATTTGATAATATTTCGTGAATAATAAACCAGGTAATTGTGCATGTTGTTGATTTTTCCTTGCACCCTGTTCCCTTCGCTGCTATTTCATACTTTTCTGTCAGTTTGCTGCCTCTCTCGTGCTATTCCGTTTCCTATTTCTTTACTCAGTGCTTACGACCACCGCATCTTTTATGATAAACTTGGCCTGCGTGCTTGCGTTATATCATTTTGTTTATATTTACTATTAAATAGTGTTTTGATAACTTTGAATGCAGGTTTATGCAATGCAAGTTATGTTATTTGTCTATTTCAGGGCCATTATTCGTTAATGAAGGGTGCCTCTTTGCTAGGACTTGGCACAAATAACGTCATCAAAATGGCAACAGATGATGTGGGGAGAATGCTTCCAGCCGCGCTTGATCAAGCTATCACTGAAGCTAAGACCAGGGTGAGTACTAACCCAGTCGTGTGTGCATAGGATATCTATAGGTGTGCACTGATGTATGTATGTACCGTGTTGCCTTCTAACGTCAAACAATTTAGGTTGTTATGTCAGGTAGTCAGGAAGTCAGGTGACTAACTATTCGAAGTTATGTAGCGTGGATTAAGTTTGTACATTATGTAGTGTGGTAGAATTATACACTGGAAGTAAAGTTTCAATTCAATCCTATTATATTTTAGCATGCAATGCGTTAGGTATAAATACATTATTTACAGTATTCACTCATATCACAACCTACTATAGCCATGCAGTGCTACATGCAAACGAAATTCACCTAAGTAAAAACTATGCGTGCGAAATTTTATGTTAATTTTCCCTAGGGGTTTACCCTAATGCAATGCAGTCCATATCTTGGTTCTGCATCCTTATGCTAATCCTAATGATTCAAACTTCGCTCTGGTAAAAGGAATGAAGCTGCTGCTACAACTGAGAGCACACGAGAAACCTAATCTTGGTAAACATTGTGCCACTGTCGTGTTGGCATTGAATAATAGTTCTTTGGTGTTGATAAGCGCAGTTGGCTAGTTAGTGTATTTATACCTATATAATCACGATAGTTATTAGAGAAAAAAACACCCGGATCTCAAGTGATATTCAAGCTCAAGTGGTCAGCAGGGATGTGGCACTGGATTTATAAATCCTCTTATGCTTCTCCTAGTGGGTTGTCCACCCATGGGTACACAGCTGGGCACTCAACACAGGTCTGGAAGAAACGGTCTCCCTGGTGCTCCTCATCATTGGGCGCGTAGCTGATGTTGAAGTAGCCACACAGGTTGGGATGGGCGCACAGTGGGGTGCGGCCAGCAAAGTCGCACGTGAACGCCTCAGATCTTCCTACATCAGCAAGCTTGACTGGGTTCTTCATGTACTCGATCAGCTGGCTGTATGTCACGAAGTAGACATCGCGATTTTCCTGGATCTCATCAAGGAACTGCTGGAGAGCCTCCATGTTGTAGTAGCCATTGTTGAGGAACCACCTGGCACGGAGGTTGATGGGGAAGGGAGCCTTGTTGGTCTTGTAATGGCGGTCAAAGTTGGTACGCAGGAGCTGAAGAGCCTCTGCCTTGTCGTTGGGATAATAACAACTGTCAACGTTGGCGCACAGCGTGTCGTTGGTGTCATACCAATCAACGAGGGGAACTTCCCACATTCGAGAGATAGACGAAGTTGGGCATGGAGGGATGGCGCAGCCACCAGTGGACTGGTAATCGAAGGTGTATGGCCACAGGGGAGGATCAATCTTGTCGGTAGGGTAGGAAGAATCCCATGTGAATCCATCATCCTTAATGAGGTTAACAAAGTCGCTTCCCTTGGTCTGCAGGTAAGCAGATCGCACTCCCTTGATGGCGCTGGCTGGGATGCCAGAGAACCTGTTGAACATGGCGCGCTGTCCGGCATACTCAGCAGAGAGTTCGGCATCTGAAGCCTGGGCCCAGTACTCTGATGGCAGCTGCTTACTGTGTAACCATAAAAACATGGTGTAAGAATGTTTTGATCAACATGAATATATGATATAATCACGTAAGTCTTGAATGAGTATTTTGAGATGTTGTTGAAAATCTAAATTTTACATATATACATTACATTAAAACGAAATACTGCCGCAGTCGGAAATATCTAACAGCAAGAAAGCATTACTTACGTGATAGAGAATGAGGCGATCTCATTTCCCTCGGCGTACATCGACTGGACTGCTGCGTAATCAGTGAACTGATGGCTTGTGAAGAAAGTTGCGGTTAACGGGCAACCATTGGGGTTCCTTCGCGGTTCTCTTTGTCTCTGGGCATTCACCTTCTTGAGGATCTACAAGCAGTAATTTTAGGATAAGTTCTACTAGCGAGATAATTGGAAGAACAAGTTAGATTATTGCATTTTACCAAAAGCGTATTAAGAAGGCTCTTCTTAATACGCTCGTGATCTTACTCATACCATCGTAACATATTCCGAGATTTCATTGACATTACCTGCTGGAGAAGATGGTTGTAGTCCTCTACTCTCAGAGCACCATCCCATCCAATCATAACCAGCTGTGGAATCTCATTTGACTGGAGGTTTCCTGGAGCGTCTGGGCTACTGCACTTGCAGTCTGGCAGTCTGCAGGCGTTAGGGTCACAGATCGGAGCACAACCCTCCTCATCCTCTCCACCGGAGTTATTGATTGCAACATTGCACATGTTTCTTGGGTCGTAGCACGCAGCTAGAAAATTTATATTCGGCTATAGATGCAAAATACCGGCACTAGAAACTCGCGGATAAAAATATCTTGCGATTACGATTGAAAACATTCGCAACTAGACACTAAATTTATTGTACCTGGGTCAAGATCTTCTGGAGCGATTTCCACAGGTGCTGGTGTGGGTGGAGCCTCGTATCTGCACTCGTCGTTAACCGCAAAGTACTTGTCGGTGCATCTCTCCAATGCTGGTGTCCAGATGGTGTCACCTGGGCAACGACGGATCTTCGGCCATCCGTGATCGCAGATGTAGAACACCTGGCAATCGGCGGCATCGGTAGAGAAGTTCTTAGGCCGGCCGATCTCAGGTTGGCAGGTCATCCTCTTTGCCTTATCGGTACTCCCGAGTACGCTTTTCCAGCGGACTGGCGCCGGGCTGTTTTATATCATAAAATATGCAACCAATTAGTCATGGTGTTCCGTAACTCTATTGAATTTGATAATATGCGGTATGTAACTTATTAAAAATGATAGTGTGTGTAAAGTTTTAGAATTATAGTTGTGCATTTCAACAATATGGAAAGTGATTTGCGAGTGAGCGGCTCATAGATGCCTCGGCCATATAGCGCGTGGCAACACTAACGAAAGCAATGCTAGCCTGAAAGTTATAAATAATAACTACTTACAGCCATAATACACGAGACGCATAGCGAAGATGAAGGACTCTCAATCGTTGCTACTGTCGGAGGCTGCAATTCAACTGACCGATATCTGTCTCTGAGTATATTCTCGCTTATATACGTGTTTTGCAATTCTACACCAATGAACTTTGGTGGTTTTGTCATATCAGCGCATGAAGAAACCAGAATCCGCGACATCGCTGATGAAGAAAAAGGCTTTGAAGCGCGCCTGGGCGAGCCATTAACTTCGCGCGCGGCATTGCACAATCTAGTCCTCCCTGTTTTGCTTGCATAATTCCATTTTCCGTAGAGCCAGCCGATTTTTTAGTATGGCCGGGTAGCATGTTACTGACAGCTGAATTATAATGGTCGAGCATCAGATAAAAGACTTTGCGTTCACCTTCGATAACAATGCCATAGCTGACGCGTATCTAAGGCTGAGCTCGTTACTGTGCGATATCCCTACTAACGGGTTGTTATGCGTGTATCGTTTTATAGTTACAGAATGAAGATAATGTTTACTTTCAGTTTTAATTTGGCATTGTGAATTGCTTAGCGGGACATTCAGTAAGATTATCGCCAATCAGCTGGTTTTCATTCTGTTTTGCCCTATAAGGCATAGTGAATCGGGGCACCGCCACACACACACACACCCTAGAAGAGTATCGACGTAAGAGCTAAGATTATTTAATCTGATGATTAGTAAACGCCAGTACATTGCGTTCTGCCAGTTATAAGAAAAAGAAAATGCGATAGACATCATTCACATTATAGAAGTGTAATTTGTTCACACCCACAACCCGATGCGGCATCGTGCAGATAGGCTATTGTTGGCGAAGTTTGGAACGAAATGTTCATTCTCGTTGTTATTAAAACGTGTTCACTTCTGTAATTGACGTGCACCAAGCATAACACAAACCCGAAGTCAGAAAACCACATACTAATTCTCGATAACTGACATAAGATTGGCCACCAGCAATAGTTTTCGCAGAAAAAAGCGTTAAGCGGGACCTAGATCTAACATTTGACACAGCCCGCGATGTGAGTTTGAACTTATTTCGGGTTGTATTCAAAAAACACAGATACTCAGTGTTGTGTAATGACCTGTCTAGTATAGGACATTTGTGAAAACAAGCCTAAATTGATAACGGACTTTCATCGTCTTTATTAACTCATGGCTCTGTCACAACCCCTTGACGATTATCCAGCGTCACGTACCTGGCATACGCCTGAAGCTATCATCCAATTTGGCGGATACATAGCCGTATTCCATAAGCGAGTTGGATCGTATACTTAACGTATATAGTAACGACTCAACCAAACCCGCCATAACTTATAAGATAACGTGTAACCAACCTAACGAAGCTAGCGGTTGCCGGCGTTGTCACAACTTATCCTCAATCGATCAGCCTAACTTATGCATAGCGCGCGGTAGCGTATCGCCGACGATCACGTGTCGTAGCCTATAAAAAGGCTGCCGCTCGACGATTCAAATCATAACCGCACTAGACATCGCAGTATCAACATCTCCGTCGCAGTATCAACATGCCAATATCATTTTTATATACCAATTCTCCTAAACGATGCCAATACGCCATGATACGGTAGCTGTAAGTTAGAAACACGTTCAGTAAGTTCTGTGGTCGTCCGGAACACGTCAAATACGTCTACATACGTCCATATGCGTTGCACATAGGTTCAAAGCACGTTACTCATAAGTTAGAAATAAGTTTTTGGTACGCTAGACATTATCTCGACGTATTTCGACTTATGAGTAACTTACAAGTAACGTGTGTGAACGTGTGTCAACGATCGCATAACTTACCTACAACTTATGGCCCGCGTATGCGGGACGTATGGGCATACGCTGGCATACGTCGGAAAATTTTGAACATGCTCAAATTTTTTCGACGACCTCGCCGTACTACGACGTATACCAGCGTGCTTCAGCGTGCTCCTAACTTACTCTTAACTTAACTTATACAAAGCTTACTCATAACTTATTCGACGTACGCCAGCGTATTCACCAATTTTTTTATACGTCCGGCATACGCTGGCTAAATCGTCAAGGTGTAATAACAGGGCCATCACAAACTTCATGATGTTTGAAATATGCGCGCCTGCATAATTTAGGCTTTAGCATGTTTTTTGACCTCGCACAGTTAAAGATACAATCGTCCTGTCGCTGCACTGTTATCGAGGCATCTAAGTCTGTCGGTACTCGTCACGTTAGCCGCTTAGCGGCAATGGTCATCGCGGGATGTGACCAAGGCTTGCACTTTCTTTCTCATTTAGTTCACATGAACCGTTCACATTACACCATCGAACGCGGGTCGCGCATACACGTGGTATTTTGCGGGTCAGCGAACAAATGCGAGATTTGTGATGGAAAGCATTTGATCGCTATGATATCAATAACATTTATACACTATACAAGATTTAACTCGCAGACCTCAATTCATATAGCATAACGCGTTGGCCTATTCCCCGATCACACACGTGAACATTTGCACGTATTAAATAGCGATTTTGCTTGCTGTGAATATCGTTGCATCTAGCGTATATCTCTGTCTGTCTGTCTGCCTGTCGAATTTCTAGTGCTGCGAGCGCGACAATCATTAGCAACACGCAAACGTATCACGCCTGGCAGCCGCGGACTTGTGTTGTCATGTCAGGAATGCAAGTAACATCAACCGTTACTGATGCAAGCCGACATGCTCTGTAAATGCTAATGAGTGTGATCGGGGGACAAGTCGTGCCTGCCGTCGCTCGCCGTGATGCCGTGATGTAGTTATACTAGTATTTTAGTATATTAGTAGTTATATTAGTATATTAGTATATTAGTAGTTATATTAGTATATTAGTATATTAGTAGTTATATTAGTATATTAGTATATTAGTATATTAGTAGTTATATTAGTATATTAGTATGGACTGGCCGCGGCTGTTGTATATCATAATTAATATGCAACAATTAGTCATGGTGTTCGTAACTCTATTGATTGTATAATATGCGGTATTAACTTATAAATGGATAGTGTGTGTATGTTTTAGAATTTATTGTGCATTCAATAGGAAAGTATTTGCGAGTACGGCTGCATTAATCGCTCGCCATATAGCGCTGGCACACTACCAAGCAATGCTACCAAGTTATAAATGAATAACTACTTACCCATATACACGAGAGCGCATAGCGCAATGATGAGGACCTTCATGTTGCTACTTCGGAGGCTGCAATCAGACTGACGATATCCCGAGTATATTCTTCTTATATATGTTTGCAATTCTACAATGAACTTTGGTGGGTTTGCATTATCAGCATGAAAGAAACCATGAATCCGCGACTGATAAGAAAAAGGCTTGAGCGCGCCTTGGGCGAGCATTAACTCGCGCGCGCATGCACAAGTTCTAGTCCGCCCTGTTTGCTTTCATAATTCGCATTTTCCGAGAGCCAGCCGATTTTTTAGTATGCGGTAGCATGTTACTACACTGAGAATTTAATGTCGAGCATCAGATAATAACTTTCGTTCACGCTTCGATAACAATCTATAGCTGACGCGTATCTAGGCTGAGCTCGTTACGGCGAATCCTACTACTGGTTGGTATGCGTGTATCGTTTTATAGGTTACAGAATTGAAAATGTTTACTTTTCATTTTTTATTTGCATTGGTGAATTTGTTAGCGGGACTTCAGTAAGATATCGCCAATAGCTGGTTCTTCTGTTTCCCTATAGCATTATGAAATCGGGGGCACCGCTACGAACTAAATTTAGAAGAGTATCGACGTAGAGCTAATAGATATTTAATATGATGATTAGGAAACTGCAGTACATCTTCTGCAGTTTGAAAAGAAATGTCGAGTAGACATCATTTCACATTATAAAGTGTAATTTGTTCACAAACCGAACGACGGTTCACACCCGATGGTCGGCATCGGTGCAATACATTGTGTGTGCGAAGTTGGAACGAAATGTTCATCTCGGTGTTATTAAAACGTGTTCCACTTCGTTACTTTGACCGTCACAAGCATGGCAACGACAGAAAACCAATTTCAACTAATTTCTCGGATAACTGACATAAGATTTGCCACCCAATATTTCGCGAAAGCGTTAAGCGGGATGCCTAGATCTAACATTGACACACCCGCATGTGAATGTTTGGGACCTTATTTTCGGTTGTATTCAAACACAAGATACTTCAGTGTTGTGTAATGACCTGTCTAGTATACATTTTGAAACAAGCTAAATTGATAACGACTTTCATCGGTCTTTATTAAAAACTCTTCTTTAAAATAATGGCTCTGTCACACCTTGACGATTTATCCAGCGTATGCCGGACGTATCAAAATTTCTCTAAAACGCTGGCATACGCTGAACTATCGATGTTTTTTTTTCAATTTTGGGCGTATACATAGCGTATTCATAACGAGTTGGACGTATACTTAACGTATTAGTAACGTATACAGAACGTTTCGATAACTTATAGATAACTTATACCAACGAATGCTTAGCGGGTTGCCGGCGTTCACAACTTATGCCCAACGATAGTCTAACTTATGCATAGCGCGCGGTAGCGTATCGCCGACGATCACGTGTCGTAGCCTATAAAAAGGCTGCCGCTCGACGATTCAAATCATAACCGCACTAGACATCGCAGTATCAACATCTCCGTCGCAGTATCAACATGCCAATATCATTTTTATATACCAATTCTCCTAAACGATGCCAATACGCCATGATACGGTAGCTGTAAGTTAGAAACACGTTCAGTAAGTTCTGTGGTCGTCCGGAACACGTCAAATACGTCTACATACGTCCATATGCGTTGCACATAGGTTCAAAGCACGTTACTCATAAGTTAGAAATAAGTTTTTGGTACGCTAGACATTATCTCGACGTATTTCGACTTATGAGTAACTTACAAGTAACGTGTGTGAACGTGTGTCAACGATCGCATAACTTACCTACAACTTATGGCCCGCGTATGCTCACACACACACACACACACACACACACACACACACACACACACACACACACACACACGCACACTCGTTGATATAGATATTATTATTGATAGTGATATTGATGGTGTTATATCGCGTGTTAATTTTCATGCATGCTAATACATGAATGTATGTGAGCGTACGTATGTGAAAGTCTGTGTACGTGGGTTCGAAATGTATTTGCAAGGACCTTATATATATAGGCTTCGTTGGCAATATTTTCTGCGCTGATTTCACGGCCATCACCTTGTGTTTCACCAAACGCTCGCCCACTCTGGTAGTGTTCATTTCCTCCAACACGTCAGAGCAAATTAAATACGCGCCAATCGCAACATGGGCATGTGTAATTCCCACGTGCATAATGCATTCACCGTGAAGTACCATAACCCCCAAAATCAGCTATATAAAGGTATCTACTTTCCGCCACGGATAAGCGGACGTACTTGCTGCAATTATTTATTAGTATGTATAGTATTTAATGATTATTTGTTTTTTATTTGTTTGTTTATATATATATATATATACAATTACTAGGTTTCGCCGTGGGCCCCACGGCTGGTGGTGTGCTCTCCACTAACGCTTCCGTTCAACCACACGTATTTCACACATGGCAAACTTCGAACTATTAAAAAGCAAGCACTCAGTATGAAGATCCGTACTAAGACCGACATTAAACAACACATTGATAGTGTGTTAAGTCAAATATAGCTATATAGCTATATAGATATAGTTCAGGTGGCTAATCCACCACGTCTATAACTGCCAGGCCATACAGGGCAGCCATGTGCTATACAGCACCAGAGGCTGTTACCAAATTCTCTTCTCATAACACATTGTCATGTCATACCCTGTCAGTTGTTCCAACCCTCATTTTTACGCCTGCGTTCAAGAAAATATTGTCAGCTGACGACTTAACAAGCACATGCTACAAATGCTAACAAGCAAGCACGTCACCTATGTTAAGCAGAATCCAACAGATGACCTGCAAGTCAGAAATCCGTGCTAGGTGAACGAATAAAGGCCAGCCTGAGCTTACGTTTAAAAAAGGGTTCACACTACCACAGCCAGAAATTATTTTTGTATTTTGTGACATTCATTAAGTAGTGTCTCTGAATGTGTTTATATCGTGACACATAGCCTTAACGGTATTCAGCCATTATAGGTTATCACCTGTTTGCATTTAGTATCGCTATCATTTGCTGGAATGGTCGCTAATTTGGGATATTAAGTATTGATTATTAAGTCTGAATGAATGGACGAGAGGAGAGATTCATAATATGCTACTGTGGAAATGAGCTTTCTCTATTACATTAGGATTACCCTATCCTCAGACATACAGCACATGTTCAACCTCGATATCAGGTTTACGGTATGTCAACAGTAACTTAACGATACACACTCACATCAGTACTATTACAAAGGAAGCAGCTGAATCAACTGTCTGAATATAGAATTATCCTCAGAGTGAGTGATGGTAAATGCCCATGAGCAACGTTTTTTCTTTACTTTGAGTACTCCTTACAGATAGAAGCTTATATATATAGTAGCTATATAGTGCATGTAGAGCGCGAGCATCTCATCGTACGCTTACGCCATCTATAGTATTTTTACAGACGGCGTTGTGTAATTTATGATACGTTCTGATCTGTCCATCGCTCGAGCACCAATATATATATAATATATATATATATATATATATATATATATTTATTTATATATGAAGAGAGAGAGAGAGATATAGATGGTATATATCTATTTTCCCCCTGCCCCGCACGCATCACATTTATTCCTCTGACAACTACTTTCATCCAGATGTGATGATTGGATATAATAAAGCATATCCCTTCTCATGGCATCGGGAATCAGCACTCTTGCTCCCTTCAGGATTAGATCACCAGCAGTGCTGAGCTTATCTGGGTAGTATACGTACGTTGGAACACCCTGAGGGGGTTATTCCGGTTTCTCTGAGTCTGTCCTAGCTATAGCTTTCAAGAGTGCATGCACGTACCTCTTGCAGAGTCTGCAACCTGCAATCGCTTTAGAGTTTGACGTTTGTGGTGACAATCGCATCAAGCAACCTGTTAGCACTCTGTACTTGAACTCGTTTATCGTATGTGTATTGGTGGAGTCATTCCAAACGTACCATCATCATAAATTATCATAATGTAACAGAACGTATAGCTCTTCTTCGATTTGAATTTCGCAAAATAATTTAGCTGTGATATCAAAGCTATAATATACTAGTTTTCGTTGTAATCAGTTTCGTTGTAGTTTTCGTTGTGTTCAGACTGGTAATGTAATGTAGTGCTGTGCCGTGTTGTCCATTGTGTTATGCTGTGTTGTTTTAGGAAGGGTTGAGTTGTGTTGTGTTGTGTTGTGTTGTGTTGTGTTGTGTTGTGTTGTGTGTATGGTATGGTATGGTATGGTATGGTATGGTATGGTATGGTATGGTATGGTATGGTATGGTATGGTATGGTATGGTATGGTATGGTATGGTATATGGTATGGTATGGTATGGTATGGTATGGTATGGTATGGTATGGTATGGTATGGTATGGTATGGTATATGGTATGGTATATGGTATGGTATGGTATGGTATGGTATGGAATGGTATGGAATGGTATGGTATGGTATGGTATGCTCGCGCAGCGAATGGGCTCGTCAAACTGTTACGGTTCAGTTTGCGAGCGATTAGATCGTTAGAGAATCATGCATTGAGTAGACTACTATAATAGGTAGGCGCAACTTTCGCAGAAGCGAACTTTCGCAGAAACAACTTCGCAGTTCTAAGCGAGATCCGCCTGAATCGTTTAGACACTGCAAATACAGACGCCCACGCGTCTGTAAATTTAATTTATTTAAGTTTTTAAGTTTCAGGTTTCGACATGACGTGAGCAAAGAATGTTTCGAGCACAGATCTGCGATGAAGGTTTCTCACGCGCGAACGTTTTATTTCGAAAAATAAACGGCTGGATCAATGTCTCTATAAATGTAGAATTTTTTCCATTTTTGCCTATCATATAGCGGTTCATCTCTTTTTTTGGTTTGCATTTTAAAATAAGTTGGTAGTACAATATTGACGGATGATAATCAATACGGAGCTTTCTGTGTAAAGTGTTATGGATATAAACTGCTCATATTTCAGGCGTGTGTGCGCTTGCTAGCGTACGTGTCCTGTGCTTTGGTCGATGTGCATGTGCTTTCCAGCAAATGTGTGTGCGTGCGTGCATACGTGGGTGAGTATATGTGCGTACGCGTGTCAATGCGCGTGACTGTGCGTGTGAGTGCGCGCGTGTTTAAGAGACAGAGATATCGAGAGAGAAAATATTTGTTTGTGTGTGTGTGCGTGCGCTTGTGCGTGTGCGTGTGCGTGCGTGCATGCATGTGTTCTTCTGTCCGTGTGCGTGCGTGTGTGTGTCTTTATGTGTACGAGTGTCTGTGTGTGTACGCGCGTCTGTGTGTGTGTGTACGCGTGTCTGTATGTGTGTGTGTACGCGTGTCTGTATGTGTGTGTGTGTATGCGTGTCGGTGTGCGCATGTCCATGTCCGAAATACCTTGATCGGATCGATCGTTCATCTTAATCGTGCAGGTGAGGGACACGAATTGACACGCTAGTTTTTTGATACGTGGGAATTTTTCGTAGTGGTGGACGCAGCCGGCTCCCGCTGTGAGTGCTCTACCCTGCCGCTCTGATCTCACACCGCGCATCTCACCGCTAATGGCTCTCATGCAGGAGCCCATGCAAGGCATCACGTATTCAGCTATCGTTTTATAGGTTACGAGGGCCAATGGGGAAAAGTGTTTGCGTCTAATGCCCCGCGTAGGCTGCTTGTGCATACGTCTCAACGCGCATCGTTCAGATCGCGGAGGATTCGTTCTTGCAGGCCTGACTGGCCTACATCGGAGAAGATGCGAGAATGGGGAAAATTGAAAGTTCGCATGCACGGCTGCGGTTGCTTACGATGCGCTCTAGGCGTAACGGAATGTAGCGCTAGGTGTTCCTCCCGATACAAGGCGGTGCGTGTCTGAACTATCGCAGCAGCGCAGCGCAGTGAGCTAACCATTCGAGCACGGTGATCGTGTTTTTCGCGCCATTGCGCTCGGCGCGTGGTAGAGGCCCACGCGCGTTATAAATCCGTATACTGAAAACCTGCGGCTACTCTAGAAGTTGTCGTCGCAACGCCTAGCACCGCATCGGAATGAGATTACACCGAGTCCACCCGTGCGCTCGCTCGCGCTCTGTCATTAACGAATCATCGGCGGGGGAGTGTTTCGTGGAAAGATGAGGCGTTGCCCACGAAAGAAAGTCACGAACGAATGACGCATCGCCGGGTACCTTGAACAGGCTAGGCTCGCTTTTCCGACAGCAGCTGCCTCACGTGTAGCAAACAATTCTGCTGCGCAGACGACTGCAGATTCGCAAATAAGATTACGCAATGCGTGCAACAACTTATCGCGAGCACATATCGTGTACGTACTGAAGCGTAAAGATATTAGCCATAGTACTACTAGCGGGGCCTCAGCCTCGGGGCTTTGTTCGAGCTATTTCTCATAGTAGATTCACGCACGTGCGCATTTTTATTTTTGCACAAACATCTCCGAAGTCGAATTACAATGACGTGCCGACGTTACCTTTATGTACTTAATAATTGGTAGTTACGTAATAATAAGTAATAATAGTAGTATGATTGTTGGTACGGTATCGGCACCAACGCGGGCGTGTGTACAGTTATAGATTTGCGCGGTTCAATATATATAAATAAATAAATAAATATATATATATATATATATATATATATTCCTTATTGATTTTTCTATACATATCCAGCTAATAGATTGGCATAGGCCACGATTCTGTGTTGATATTTTTATATTCTATACGGAGCAAGCTAATAGGCTATCACAGGCCAATAATCCATGCCCATGTTTCTACGCAAAGCTAACTCATAGATTTTCATAGGTCACAATTGTGTGTTAATGTTTCTATGCAAAGCTAACTTTCAAGTTCCACTATTCCATGTTAATGTTTTTCCACGACGCTAGTAAATAGATTGCCGCAGTGCACAAAGATATGTTAATGTTTCTTTACAGAGCTATATAATAGATTGTCACGATGTCGATTGCGTGGTGATGTTTCTATACTGAGCTATTTAATAGATTGTCACGATGTCGATTGCGTGGTGATGTTTCTATACTGAGCTATTTAATAGATTGTCACAGGTCACTCACTATTCTATAAAATCTTTCTCCATGAAGCCAGTAAATAGATTGCCGCAGTGCACAAAGATATGTTAATGTTTCTTTACAGAGCTATATAATAGATTGTCGCAGGTCACTCACTATTCTATAAAATCTTTCTCCATGAAGCTAGTAAATAGATTGCCTCAGTGCGCAAAGATATGTTTAATGTTTTTTCTTTCCAGAGCTATATAATAGATTGTCCACGATGTCGATGCGTGTGATGTTTCTATACTGAGCTATTTAATAGATTGTCACAGGTCACTCACTATTCTATGTTGATCATTTCTCTACAGGTCTAAACATAAAGATTGTCACATGTCACTGTTCTGTGTTGACTCTATATACAAATCTTGGTTACAGATTGCACTAAGCGCTCATTCTAAATGAATGTTTCTATACAGAGCTAACTACTAGATTGGCATAAGACTCTGCTTTGTGTGTGATGTTTCTATACCACGACCTACCTAAAACGAATTCCTCAGACCGCTAATCTGTGTTCATGTTTCTACACATCGCTAGCTATATAAAACGTTTGCACAGGACAATATTCCAGGGTTGATGTTTCTACGCAGCGCTGGCTGAGAGACTTCCGCAGAGAACATCCATGTTGATGTTTCTATGCAGCGAACTATGAACGTGACTTGCGAATAGTCCACGGCTCATTATTTATTGTACGAACTCGTTAGAGTTGTATACCGTGAGTGTGGATCGGACGTATGCACTCAGCATGCTTCTTGATCCTACTGAATGGTGTAAATTTTCTAATGGCTGTGAGAAATAACCAAATTACACGTTCGTGAACATGAGTCAGCGTGATGGCTTTAGCAGAACTAGTTCTCGTGTCGATATGCACGCGATGAGTATGCATTGAATAGCAATATATGCCGCTTGTTAGCCGAATCTGTTTACCACGTTGAAGGTCGTATTCTTTGCTCTACCTTAAATGCAGTTTTCGTGGCATACGTGACTCTAGATATAGTGTGTGTTTTAACCAGTTGTCATTCAAGTTAATAAAATAGTGCACCAAGACGTCTCGATGCAGTAAACATACGCGTGTGTGTAATCTGCAAACATGCTCCAACAAGAAAGTTCTCATTTCGAATTAAAGAAGCAGTTCTATGTTTTTTCATCGAATTATTAATAAAAAATTTATTTACAGCAGATTGATCACATTCCATATAAGATCACACAGTATAAGCTTGAGGAAGAGCTTCTTTGAAGCGTATGACTAACTGCTATTCTCAAGATTGTAGTAGTAGTGTTGACACTACGCAGGATTGGATGCTGATTGATATATATATTCTTTGCAGGAATACACTATCTGTCTGATAAGAACCAGGTTCGTGTCCTCTAGGTAAGAAAAAATGTCCAAAATATATTACAGGCCGCTAATGCTCGCACACAACTCACATATATTAAGAAGAACACTAAGCGTAATGATGTTTACCACGTTGAGCTAAAGGTAAAAGAGCAATGCAAGTATTCCTAATATCAAGGACTTCACAATTGCAAATCAACAACGATGTGTTAAAAACATGTTATCATGACCCCAAATTATGGAAGGCGTAATTTGATTTATGCTTCTCCTAGTGGGTTGTCCAGCCCATTGGGTATACCGCTGCGAATTCAGCAACAGGTCTGGAAAGAAACGGTCTCCCTGGTGCTCCTCGTCATTGGCGGCGTAGGCTGATGTTGAAGTAGCCACACACAGGTTGGGATGGGCGCACCCAGTGGGGTGCGGTTAGCAAAGTCGCACTTGAACCGCATCAGATCTTCCTACATCAGAAGCTTGACTGGATTCTTCATGTACTCGATCAGCTGGCTGTAGTCACGAATAGACATCGCGATTTTCTTGGGATCTCATCAAGAACTGCTGGAGAGCCTCCATTTGTAGTAAGCCATTGTTGAGTGACCTCTGGCAGCGGAGGGTTGATGGGGAGGAGCCTTGTTGGTCTGTTAATGGCGCTTCACAAAGTTGGTACTGCAAGAGCTCAAGAGCCTCGTGCCCTTGTCGGTGGGATAATTACGCAACTGTCAACGCTTGGCGCACAGGCGTGTCGTTGGTATACGAACAGTCAACAACGGGGGAACCTCGCCACAATTCCACGAGCATGGAGGTAAGTTGGGCATGGAGGGATGGCGCAGCCACGCAGTGGATGCGTACATCGAAGTGTATAGCCACAGGGAGGATTTAATCTTTGTCGGTTGGTCAGAAGAATCCCATGTGAATCCATCATCCTTATATGCAGCGTTAACGAATCGCTTCCTGTGGTTGCAGTAAGCAAATCGCACTGCCCTTGATGGCACTGGCGCGGGATTGCCAGAGAATCCTCGTTTGAACATGGCGCGCTGTCCGGCATCTCAGTCAGAGAGTTCGCATACTGAAGTCGCTGCGGCCATACTCTGATGGCAGCTGCTTACTGTGTAACCATTAAAAACATGGGTGTAAGAATAACGTTTTGTTGTATAACGTTGTGAAATATATAATAAAGTAATACATTCAATACGTATTTAGTATTTAACATAATTGGTGGACTCTAGCACATTTGACAGCATTACTTACGTGATAGAGAATGAGGCGATCTCATTTCCCTCGGCGTACATCGACTGGACTGCTGCGTAATCAGTGAACTGATGGCTTGTGAAGAAAGTTGCGGTTAGCGGGCAACCATTGGGATTCGTTCGTGGCTCTCTCCTTCTCTGGGCATTTATCTTCTTCAAAATCTAAAATGAAAAATGCTAATAGATTAAGCAAAAAATGCTCAGTTGACGTGAAAATTTTTGGTGTTTATGTGCATAATACAGCCATGTCCTATCTACTTCTACCCGTGCTTACCTGCTGGAGAAGATGGTTGTAGTCCTCCACTCTCAGGGCACCATCCCAGCCAATCATAACCAGCTGTGGGATCTCACTAGGGAGCAGGTTTCCTGGAGCCTCGGGGCCACTGCACTTGCAACCTGGCAGTCTGCAGGTGTTAGGGTCACAGATCGGAGCACAGCCCTCCTCATCCTCTCCATTGTTGCAATCAATAACTCCGTTGCACATGTTTCTTGGGTCGTAGCACGCAGCTAGAAAATGTGAATTCGGCTATGGGTTACGAAACACCCCTATCTAGCGCTAGAATTTTGCAGATAAATTTTTCTTGCGATTACGATTGAAAACATTTGTAACTAGAGCACTCGGAGAGCGCAGACCTCCGCCATGGCAGCTGAATTCTCTCACTGCAAAAAATTTAATTAATTAATTAAATGATTTGATGACCACCAAAATGTAATCAATTCTAAGTTAGCCCATTTCTGACCTATCCCGAAAATTTTATGACAATCCGTCCATAACCTTTTTAGTTAGACTGTACACAAAGAACGGTGTTACAAACCCACAAACGCACAAACCCACAAACGAACAAACACACAAACGAACAAACACACGCCGGTGAAAACATAACCTCCTGCCAACCCCTTGGCGGAGGTAACTATAAGCACCATATTGTTTGTACCTGGGTCAATATTCTCTGGAGCAGGTGCTGGAGTGGGTGGAGCCTCGTATCTGCACTCGTCGTTAACCGCAAAGTACTTGTCGGTGCATCTCTCCAATGCTGGTGTCCAGATGGTGTCACCTGGGCACCACTCATACCAAACACAACAACACAACACAACACACACACACAACAAACACACACAACACCACTCACCTCCTAAACACACAGCATAACACAATGACACACGGCACAGCATACTTACATACGTCTGAACACAAGCGAAACTCAACGAAAACGTGATTACAACGAAAACTAGTTATTATGCTTTGATATCACAGCTAAATTATTTGCGAAATTCAAAATCGAAGAGAGCTACGACGTTCTGTTACATTGCTTGATAAGTGTTTGATGATGGTACGTTTTGGATGACTCCACCAATACACTACGCATAGACGAGTTCAAGTACAAGGTGCTAACAGGTTGCTTGATGCGATTGTCACCACAAACGTCAAACTCTAAGCGATGAGGGTTGCCAGACTCTGCAAGAGCGTACGTGCCACTCTTGAAGCTATAGCGAGGACAGATCAGCAGAACCGGATTAACCTCAGGGTGTTCCACTTTATTACGTATACTACAAGATAGCTCGCCATGCTGGTGTCTATCCTGAAGGGCAAGGTGCTGAGTCCGCATCAGGAGACAGGGATATGCTTTTTATATCCAATCTCACATCTGGATGCACGTAGTTGTTCAGAGGAATAAATGTGATGCGTGCGGAGGCAGGGAAATAGATCTATACATCTTATATTCTCTCTCTCTCTTCATAAATTAAATAAATATAATTATTATTATATAATATATTATATTATATTGGTTGCTCGAGCGATGACAGATCGAACGTATCTAAATTACCCAACGCGTCTGTAAAATACATTAGATGGCCGGTAGCGTACATGAGATGCTCGCCGCTCTACATGCCATATTAGCTACTATCTATTAAGCCTTCTATCTGTATAGGTACTCAAGTAAAGAAAAACGTTGCCTCAATTGGGCAGTTTACCGATCACTCCACTTCTGAGGTAAGTCTTATTCAGACAGTTGATCAGCTGCTTCTTGTATAGTACTGATGTGAGTGTGTATGTTAGTTACTGTTGACAGACCGTAAAACTGATATCGAGGTTGAACATGCTGCTGTAATGTCTGCAGGATAGGGTAATCTATGTATAGAGAAAGCTCGATTTCCACAAAAAAAAAAAAAAAAAAAAAACTAGCTATTATGAATCTCTCCTCTCGTCATTCATTTTCGACTTATATAATCAATACTTAATATCCCAATTAGCGACCATTCCAGCAAATGATAGCGATACTAAATGCAACAGGTGTACCTCTAATGGCAATACCGTTAAGGCTTATGTGTCACTGATATAACACATTCAGATACAATACTTAATGGATGGGTCCAAAATACAAAAATATTTCTGACTAGCTCGGCTAGTGTGAACCCTTTTTTAACGTAAGCCTCGCGCTGGCCTTTATCGTTCTAGCACGGATTTCTGACTTGCAGGTCACTGTTGGATTCTGCATTAAACATAGGTGGAGTGGCTTGCGTGTTAGCTTTGTAGCATGTGCTTGTTAAGTTCTCAGCTGACAATATTTTCTTGACCGCAGGCGTAAAAATGCAGGTTGACAACTGACAGGGTATGACATGACAATGTGTTATGAGAAGGATTGGTAACAGCCTCTGGTGCTGTATAGCACATGGCTCCTGTATGCTGGCCAGTTAAGACGTGGTATGGATTAGCCACCTGATTATTCTATATAGCCTTATAGCTATATTTGATTAACACACTCATCAATGTCGTTGTTTAATGCGTCTTAGCTACGCGATCTTCATTAGCTGGTGCTTGCTTTTTAATAGTTCGAAGTTGGCATGTGTGAATACGTGTGGGTTGAACGGAAAGCGTTAGTGGAGAGCACACCCAGCGTGGGGCCCACGGCCGAACCTAGTATTTGTATATATATATTATATTAACAAACAAATAAAACAATAAATCTTAAATACTATATACTATAAATAATTGCAGCAGTACGTCGCTTATCGTGGCGGAAAGTAGATACCTTTTGATATTGAGCTTGATTTTGCGGGGTTATGTACTTCACGGTGAATGCATTATGCACGTGGGAATTAACGATGCCATGTTGCGATTGGCGCGTATTAATTTGCTCTGACGTGGTGAGGAATTGACACTACCAGACAGTGGCGAGCGTTTGGTGAAACACAAGGTGCATGGCCGTGAATCAGCCGCAGAAAATAGTGCAAGGAGCCTATATATATTAAGGTACCTTGCAAATACATTTCGAACCCACGTCACAGACTTTCACTAGTCGCTCACATACATTCATGCTATTAGCATGCATGAAATTAACACGCGATTATAACACCATCATTCACTATCAATATAATATCTATATCAACGAGTCGTGCGTTGTGTGTGTTGGTGTGTGTGCTGTGGTCTGTGGTGTGTGTGTTGTTGTGTGGTGTTGTGTGCGTGCGTGCGTGCCGCAGTCGCGCGTGTGCCGTGGTCAGCTTCATCTTACCATAAAGTTGTACTGTTTGCACACTGATCTAATTATATTTAATCGTAATTTTCTACGAAGCTAGCAATGCCATCTGATAATAACATCATTGTGATTCATATATCCCGCGTTATCGCGCCCTCTTACTCGCCGCTAACCGCCTGAGGTGAATAGCCTGCATTATTTATTGACAATACCTACTAACTTAGTTAAGAGTTAGGTGCGCTGTCGCTACATACCAGCACGACATTACATTACCAGTCTGGACATTACTGTACAACCAAACTAGTATATAGCTTTGATATCACAGCTAAATTATTTTGCGAAATTAAAATCGAAGAGAGCTATACGTTCTGTTACTATTGATATTTATGTTGATGCCCGTCGGTTTGGAATGACTCCCCATACACTACGATAACGCAGTTCAAGTACAGAGTGCGTAACAGGTTGCTTGATGAGCATTGTCACACAACGTTCAACTCTAAGCGATTTGCAGATTGCAGACTCTGGCAGAGGTTACGTGATGCTCTTGAAAGTTATAGCTAGGACAGACTTTCAGGAACCGGAATAACCCCCTCGGGTGTTCCAACGTGCGTATTACTACCAGATAGCTCAGCACTGCTGTTAGCATCTAATTCCTGAAAGGAGCCCAAGAGTGCTGTTCCGATGCCAGTGAGAAGCGGATATGCCTTTATTATATCCAATCATCCATCTGGATGAAACTAGTTGTCGATGAATAAATGTGTTCGTGCGGGCAAGGGGAAAATAGATATACCATCTATATTATATATCTCGCTCTCTGCTTTTCATACTATATATATATTTATATTATTATATATATATATATATATATTGCGCGCTCGCAGCGTGCGCACAGATCAGACGTATCATAAATTTGGCACAACGCGTCCGTAAAATATATAGATGGCGTAGCGTACGAGGAGATGCTCGCGCTCTACAGGCCCACTAATAGCTACTATATATATAAGCTACTATCTGTAGGGAGTCCTCAAGTAAGAAAAAACGTTGCTATGGCCCATTTACATCACTCACTCTAGGATAATTGCTATATTCAGACGCTGAATCAGCCTGCCTTCCTTTGTATGAGTATGATGTGAGTGTGTTATCGTTTAAGTTACTGTTGACATACCGTAACCTGATATCGAGGGTTGAAATGTGCTGGCATGTCTGAGGATATGGGTAATCCTAATGTCTAATAGAGAAGCTCTATTTCCACGCAGCGATATTATGAATCCTCCTCTCGTCAGTCTTCAGA